GGGTATAAACTCAAAATTTGAACCTTGCACTAGATAAGAATAGGCAAATATTTTTATATGTGGCTCTAAAAGTATAAACAGAGCAAAGGAACAAATTGAAATTTGGAATTGGCCAAAATTTAAAACTCATCTTTGAAAGACAATGTTTTGTTTGTTTGTTGTTTGAAGGATAGTGTTAAGAGAATAAAAAGAAAACCCACATATAGAGAGAATTTAATTACAGAACAATCATTTGGTAAGGAATTGTGTCCAAGAATTGGGAATGGTGGCACATGTCTGTAATCCCAGCACTCAGGAGGCTGAGGTAGGAGGGTTGATGACTACAGTGCAAGGCCTGCCTGAACTACATAGTGAGACCGTGTCTCAAAAAAAAAAAAGAACGAAAATGGAATTGTGTCCAGAATATTTAAAGAACTCTAACTGAGCAACAAGACATTTCAAAACAATGAAATGTAGAAACCAGCCTACAAGTTTATTCCTGACCAGGGGGGCAAACAGATTAAAGACAAAACATAGATAATTTTTTAACATTATATACATCTATATTTTAAGATTATCTATAGTTAAGATACATTTAGGTTATCCTCATGTTACTAAAATAAAAATTGAAGAAAGAATTCACAGCATATTTACCTTTTAATAAATTGACTATTTGTTGGTTAGCTTTTAAAAATCGCATGTCTGTATTGATTAGTAAAAATTACGTATACCTTTCCTTTCACTACTACCAGAGCTCTTCCTCAAGTCCAAAGGAACAACATAGATAATTTTGAAAGCACTGGAGTCTTGCTTTTTGAGGGAAAATCACAGGTCTTTCAGATGCTCACAGGAGTAGCTTTCTCCTTTTGAATGAGCTTGTTCTCCAGGCAGTTCAGATGGGATTGACTTTACTCTAGAAAGATGAGCCTGTTTCTTCCACCCTTACTGCAGGGGGTGTGGCAGGAATCACTGAGAAGGGTCCTTTCATTTTGGCTTTCATTGGTCAGTGGGTATCCCTTCTCCAAATTTTTACAGGTACCTGGTCTCCAGGGCAAATAGCAGGTGGTCCTCCTGGGCCATGAGCTGGTAGGACTGTGTTCCCATACATTTGGATAGCCTGTAATACCTTGCCCAGATTAATGAGATACAGTAAAAGTCTGTGGTCTCTGCATCTATTATCATATCAGAGAATAGAAATGTCCTTCCATCTGACATCTCAAATGGGCTCAAACTTAGCTCAGTTTGGAGTGTGTTACAAATTCAAAAGCACTGTTGGCAGCAATCTGAGTCAAGACTCAGATGTCACTTGGCAAAGTTTTGCCAGAGCTGAGTTTAGGATCTGGTTGGCTTTCTCTACCTTTCCAGAATATTGAGGCCCACTTCCCATGTAGGATTTTTATGGCTTGTCACTATGTCCCTTGAAGAAGGACCAGAAGAACCAGTTCCTCAGGAACTGGGAATAAAGCCAGGGCCTTGAGGAACTGTAGTGCTGTCCTTCCTGCTTCCATCAGCCTTTTGATTTCCCTAGAAGACTTCAGACATGTCTCTGGTGCCCTTTACCTTGCATGACTGTGATCATGGGCTGCTGCTAGGAGTTACAGAAGTTCCTGTCTGTGCTTTATAGACAATTGACAAGACTACTTTGAGCCACACCTCAGGGTTTTGGAGGGGCAGGTGTCTGATGTCCTCCCTGCTTGCATAGGTCTGGGAGATCGTGTGTTCACAAGAGTGGCTGACTTCTGGGCCTGTAGGCATCAAAGATGCAGGGTTAATAGTAATTAAGTTTTTATAATAACCTTAGGCATGTCTAAGAGTATGGTCTAATACTTGGTAAGCCATTTCCTTGTTAAACATAAGTAACCATTTGTCTCCAGAATAGCTCTGACCTGGTGGGGAATCAGAATGTCTAGTTTCTGTCCCAAAGTTAACTTTGCAGCTTCTTCTATTAGTACAGCTGCAAAGAATCTCTGATTGGGATTTCATTTACCCCAACTAGGGCTGTAGATCCAGAGGAGGGTTTTCTAGAGAAAAGTCAAAACAGAATGAAGTAATTGAATTGGCTTACCCATGACATCTAAGATTAACCAGGGTTCCTTGGAGGCGATGGTGATGTTCATGGACAGAGGTATTTCAAGTTACCCTGGGTCTCTTCAGTTATCAGAGCAGGAAATGAAGGTTCTGGCTGGCCTCGCCCCTCTCTGGGATCAGGGATAGTCAGCCCCCAAGTGCCATGAGTCAGGTACATTAGCTCCCTCACATTGCAGAGCTTGATGCAATCTGGTACCCAGTGTCTGGTTCTCTTATACTTGAAACAGGAACTCTTTCCTCACTTGTCCCTGGGTTTTTCCCTAGATGACTTGGGTGGGTTTAAAGCATTGAAAATTGTGACAGCTATCATCTTAGCTTTTCTCTTTTGTCCCTTCTCTGGGTCCTGATTGTTGAACACAGAAAAAGTCATGTCCAACAGTTGGGCCATAGGTGCCTGTGGCCCTATCTCAAGTTTTTGTAATTTACACCGAATGTCTGGGGCTGGTTCACATATGAAATGATGTCCTGCTAGTGCTTCTCCCTCCCTGGAAGATGGATCTATATTAGTATATTTACAAAAGACTCAACATACCTCTTTTCTCCCTGGAAAGAGCAGCTAGCAAGTCAGAGTCATTCTGCCCCCCACATTAGTATTATACGCCCAGTTTGGTTCTGTTGAATGGGGGAATAACCTTTTCAGGGTGGTTTCTTTCCCTTTTTAAAGCATATTGTTCATTTGTATAGTTCATTTGGGAGCAATCTGAGTCAGGACTCAGATGTCACTTGGCAAAGTTTTGCCAGAGCTCAGTTTAGAAAATGATAAAATGATGTTCTACCTGCTTGCATAGGTCTGGGAGATCACATGTTCACAAGAGTGGCTGACTTAGCCACTCATACACTTAACTGAAAAAGGGCCCTGATTCATTGGCCTGGGGACTATAAGGAGGAGGTAGAAGAGACCTCCCAGCATCATCACACAGATCAGGGAGACTCACATCCCCCTCAGAGACAAAAGGGGCCTCAGGATGGGGTCATCCAGAATATCTTTCTCCTCGGCTCACTAAAGACCATAGTTCCTGAGCATTTCCTTTGACAGAGTCACAAAAGGATGACAGACATTTCATTCCCTTATCTGTTCTAAGCAGAAATGCCGTAACTGGAGAATAGTCTCATTGGTTAAAGTACCATTTCTTACCCATCTGGCACCACCTCCCAGTTTGTAGTGAACCAAAACCATATTGCAATAGTGGATAAGCTGTTCCTGTTTTAGATCGTCAAGACCAAACCTCTCCACTCATTAAGAATGCAACCTAAAAAAACCAAAAAAACCCAAAAAAAAACCCAAAGGTATAAGTGGAAGGAAATTTTGGGGCTGGGGATTTAGCTCAGCGGCACAGCGCCTGCCTGGCAAGCACAAGGTTGTGAGTTCGTTTCCCGATACTGGAAAAAAAAAAAAAAAAAAAAGCAAATGAACAAAAAAAGAATGCAACCTAGGGCTGAAGTCAGTGAGACCTGCATGGTGGCAGAGTCCAAAAGGTTTCCCGTTGGCTCATCTTGGAGCCTATAGAGAGAAGGAGACAAGGTCTTGACTCCTTAAAATGCCATCCCATGTGGAAGAGGGAGACAGAAGGAGTCTGCAAAACATCCCTTGTGAAACCCTAACACAGACTAGACAGGTGTTTCTGTCCGAGTGACACTGGCATCATTAAGTGCAGAAGAAAGTCCCCCGCTGGCTTTTGTCTCCATATGTGGACCCATTAACTCATTAGGAGAAGGCGCTGAAGCCACTTGCTGGCATTACCTAGTCCTTTAGCTCCTGTGAAGAAAGAGCGGAACTTGCCCAAGCAAAGTTCCCTTAGCCACATAGTTGAACCTTTGATGGTCCAACTTGCATTTTGAGTACCCCAGCTGGTGTTTCTAGTCCCTTGACTCTACTTAACCAGTTGGGAAAGTTGTCTCATATTTATTCCAGTAGTAAAAAAACTAAGAATGGGGATGGCTCTACTTTTGTACACTCACATCTTTGATTAAATTCTAAACACTGTCTCTCTCTTTTCTTTTTCTTTTTTTTTTTTTTTTTTTTTTTTTTGCTTAGGTTGTCAGGCATAGGGTTTTAAATTACCTGCACTTAAATAAGGAAGAAAGCTATAGCCCCTAGTGGTATGTAAAATAGGGAGGAAGCAGGTCAGCTAAAGCCGATTTGAACAGGCCTACCTGGCCATTTCCCTGCCCTGGCAAAAGCCTAGAGCCCTTCCTTTGGTTTGTTTATGTAGATTTCTTGAGACAGGGTCTTGCTATGTAGTTCAGGCTGGTGTTAAACTCAGCAGCTAGCCCACGCTCACCTCAAATTCATGGCAATCCTCCTGCCTCAGCCTTCCAAGTATTGGGATTACAAGCATTTGCCACTGTGCCTGGTTAGATGTTTTGTTATCATCAACAAAACTAGAATTGATGGCGGAGATATACACCATTAAAAGTTTATAAAACAGCAATTTATAAACACCCACATTAAACTACACAGGGTAAAAGAAAAAGTAGTTTTGCTGTGGGGGGCTGGATGCCCTTGAATAGGACATACGGAGTTCTTGGACTTGTAAGTTTATATGCTGTGACCCAGGTTGGCTAAAGAATCCTCAGTGCTACCCAATGTACTGTGGCTCTCTGCTGATGAGAAAGCCCTTTGAGGGACTTTGCCTGGTATATTGTACTAAAATTCTTGGTATGCTTGAAATGGGCACTGTAAGACTTCATGGAGATTTGCCCTGCTTTCTTCCTATTAGCCCTGCTAGTGATTTTGATAAAGTAATGGTCCAGGGCTTACTGATTAGGTGGTCTGTCAGATACTGAGATCTCATCTGGTTCAGAGCAATCGGAATACAGATTTCTTGAGTGAGTTGGATAAAAACCCGAAATATCACCTTAGTTAGCAGAGAATCTAAGGGAACAATGCAGAATATTCCAAATGACTACGTTAAATATTTTTTTTCCTTTAGGCGATTGTGGAGAACAACCTTCCCTCCGAGATTGCTAGCAAGATCAATCTTGTGGACCTAGCAGGCAGGTAATTAAGATTTCAAAGCCAAAGCGAATTATTCCCTTGACAGTGATCTTGTTTCTGCCTATTTTACACAGAATAAGCTTGATCCAGTCTTTTTTTTTCTTTCTTTTTTTTTAAACATTTTTGCTTTCCTGAGAAAACTACAAAAGAAATTCTGCCAGGCCAGAGGTGCACCCCTGTAATCCCAGCACTTGAAAGCTGAGGCAGGGGAATTCTAAGATCAAGGCCAGACTAGGTTATAGAGTAAATTCAAGGCTGGCATGGATTATATAGCTAGATCCTGTCTCATGAAAACAAGCAAAAACAAATTCTTTGAGTGCTGGGCTAAGAGTATGTGGGCAACCCACTTGGGTCCCCTTCTGTCTCTCTCTCTCAGACAGGAGCTTTCCCTCAGTAAATACATTCTGCTCTTTAAAAAAATAGAGTTAGTGTGTCAGTGGCTGGAAGAGCCTCTCTGTCAGATTTTCTTAGTCTTAGCTGCCCATTAAAGTTTCTTGGAGACCTTTTAAAGATCGTAGTCTGTGGACCTTAGATAAATCAGATTTTAGTGTGGGTGAGAGGAATGTGGGCACTGGTATTTGTTTTTTCAGACAGAGTCTCCCTATGCAGTTCAGGCTGGTCTTGAACTTGCTATGTATCCCAGGCTGGCCTCAAACTCCTGCCTCAGCCTTGTGAGTGCTGGGATTACAGATGTACACCACCATGCCTGGTGTAGAGCTGAATTTTAAAATGAATTTATTATGTGGGTCTTTTACAGCATCGATACAGTGTAGTTCATATCTTTTAAACAACATTACAAAGGTAATGCTTGTTTGTACTGATTTGTGTTTTAGCGAAAGAGCAGACCCTAGTTACTGTAAGGACCGGATTACTGAAGGAGCCAATATCAACAAGTCCCTTGTGACCCTGGGAATTGTCATCTCCACTTTAGGTATTTGCTTATTGACAGAATGATTAAGGTGGGAGGGAGACCTTGGAAAATAATTTGCATTATTTTCATTTTGTCAGAATGGGATAGATACAAGCTTCTTTCTTGACAAGGCTACCATTTGGGTTGAGGCATGAGAAATTGATATTTATCTGTGATTGACTGATAGAGTATAGTGTGCCCTGCATTCTAGCACTGTCATGTCAAGGAGGGGAAAGCTTAAGAAATGATGTCACTCAATCCAAATCATGCAAAGTCTGGTCCAGTGCTTACATTTGAAGCATCCTGTCACATGCGAAATGGGATAAGATGTGTAACCCTTAAGTCTGTGTCCTGCAGCCATTGTTCTGTCTGGATGCATTTGCTTTCTCCCCCTTTTTTTGGTTTGTTTTGAATGCATTTGTTTCATAATTCCTTCTTTCTTCCATGCTTATTATTTATTAAGCCCAGAACTCCCAGGCCTTCAGTAGTTGCCAGGGCCTCAGCAGCCCAGCCAGCAGCAGTTGTGGTGACAATGAGACTCCTGGTGCTCCTGGGACCAGCAGTGGCAGAGGACCCTCCCGGAGGCAGGCTTACATCCCATACCGGGACTCTGTGCTGACCTGGCTGCTGAAGGACAGCCTTGGAGGCAACTCAAAGACCATCATGGTTGCCAGTAAGTGGGCTCCTGGCTCTACTTCGGTGTTGGACCAGTATTCCACCTCAGAAAAGGGCCTGACCACACATGGTCCTCCTTTCTTCAAGGGGCTCGCAGGCAGTGTGGGCAGTAGCAGCAAGGCAATTGGTACAGGGTAGGGCTAGAAGGGCCTGATGTACTTTTCTAACTTCTACCTTAGCTGTATCTCCTGCACATACCAGCTACAGTGAGACCATGAGCACACTGAGATACGCATCCAATGCCAAGAACATCATCAACAAGCCCCGGGTCAATGAGGTGAGACCATTGGAAGATCTGGTCTGGTATACTTCACACAGTGCTCTTGTTTTTTTCCTCTGAATTTTATTTGTCTTTGTACTTGCCCCAACTTGCCAGACTTATTTTCCAATTGATGAGGGATTGAAAATCTTTCTTACAGTGCTATGTTATATCCTTTGCTGATATTCCTGCTGACTATAGTTAATAACTTACTATGAATAATTTATTATAAGTTTTTTGGGGGGGTGGTACTGGGAATCGAACTCAGGACCTTGTGCTTGCCAGGCAGGCACTTATGCTGCTGAGCTATGTGCCCCGGCATAAGTATTTCTTTAAGGTCATTCCTCTTAAGATCCTCAGTATACCAGTGTCACACTAAGCAAGGTTCTTTAGAAGTTTTTGGGTTTACAGCTTTTATTTTCAATTGATGTTATTTATGCCTTTTAGTTTTCATTTTTCCTATACAACTTGCAATGGCTTCTCTTTTAAATTTAGAAGAGAAGGAATATAAGAAATTCTTTCTTTTTGAATGAAACAAGCAAAAACAGTGGCTAAGTTTGAGAAAGTAAAAGTGAAGAGTGAGGGAGAAACTGGCTCTGTAGAGCAAGTGTGGGCCAAATAAAAGGAGAAAAGGCAATAAAAGGACAGCCTGGAGAAAGCAGGGTGGCCTGTGGTAAAGAAAATCATGATAGCCTTTTTTTTTCTTTTTAAACTGGAGGTTTTTGTTGTTGTTGTTGTTTTTTGTCTTTTTGAGACAGGGTCTCACTATGCAGTTAAGGCTGGCCTTGAGCTTACTTTGTAGCCCAGGCTGGTCTCAAATTGGCAACGATCCTCCTTCCTCAGCCTCTCGAGTGCTGGGGTTACAGGCATGTGCCACGACACCCGCGGTTTTTTTTGTTGTTGTTGTTTTTAAATACTATTCTCTCTTTTTTTTTTTTTTTTTGGTACCGGAAATTAAACTCATGACCTCACGCTTGCCAGGCAGGTGCTGTGCCACTGAGCTATATCCCTGGCCTTGCTGGTATTGACAGCTGAGTAATAATGAGAATATTCTAAATGTTCTTTATCTCCTTTGCAAGTTCCAACAGGTGGCCACACATATATAGCTCCTGTAGGAATTGTTTTAAAGGGCACTGTAATGCTGGGTGTAGTGGTGTATGTTTGTAATCCCAGTACTTGGGAGGCTGAGGCAGGAAGATTACCACAAATTTGAGGTCAGCCTGGGCTACCTAGTGAGTTCAGGACCACCTTGAACTATATTAGGAAGATCCTATCTCAGTTTCCCTCCCCACCACAGAAAAAGCAGCAATGTAATTAGGTAAATTTAGTCCCAATGCAGTAAGACTAGTACCAATTAATGTATATATCCCCTGGCATTAATGCCAGCTTCCTGACCTCTTGCTCGAGAGTGATGATTCTCAAACCTCAGTGTGTATGCAAGAATCACCTGGGGACTTCATTAAAATTCCAGCCCTCTGGATCTGTTGATCTCATAGATCTGGAGTGGGGCCAGAATTTGCATTTCTACAGATTTTCAGATGAAGTTGATGCTCCTGGTCCTGAGATGGTACTTTGAGAACAAGTGCTGTAGAAGTTATTCTGAGGGAGTAATCCACCTCTTCCAAGCTGATTGCATGTAGCATTTTTCAGCTGGCTGTGACTTGACATCAATCCTCAGTGACTGAGTTCTCTGTGTTTCAGGATGCAAATGTGAAGCTCATCAGAGAACTCAGAGAAGAGATCAGGAGGCTGAAAGCCATGCTGCTGAGCTTCGAGCTGGTATATGGGCAACCAGAACTTTTCCATATTTAAATGAAGTTTTCCTCCTGACTTCTGGAGCATCTGGTCCTGCTGCACTCTCTGTTTCCAGTTGACGCTGGTGGAGCTAAGACAGGAGGGGAATTACTCTGCTATTTCTAGGTCACCTCGGGTGGGGTTGGGCATCCTCTCATGGTCTCATCTCTTGTCCAGAGGCCACTTATCTGAAAGGCCCTTGCTCTGTGTGGGCAGCATGGGCAGGAAGGTGCTAGAGGAAAATTGCTTGAATTCTGGTGTGTACTAGTATGAGCCTAAATACAGTATTTAGGCTCCTGATGTATTTTTGACTTTAAACATAAAGTCTCTTTGTCTTTTATTCTCCTTCACAAATGTAAGGGTGAGACTTCCCTCCAGTTCACTCCAGGAAGACATCACAGCACATCTCTCTTTCTGTTTCTTTAGAAAAACTTTAATTCCTTGAACGATGAGGATGAAAATCTGAAGGAGCTTGTTCTCCAAGATGAATTGAAGGTAGGTATGTTGGGTGGGCTAGTTGTACTTTATTTTACCTTGGAAATAGGTTTGGTCTCCCTGTAGTCATTCTTCCTGGGCTAGGGCTGCTCCTTAGTAGGAAAGACAGGTCTATCTAGTTTAAAAATTGGCTATCTTTTCCTCCACTGAGGCTTGAGGAGGGGATGTGTTTGCTTTAGGAGCTGGTAAATCGCTTTGATTTTCTGTTTTATTCTCAGGTTCATGATAACTCCCTTTGGATAGTGCCAATGGCCTAGAAAAAAATTATTTTCCAGTTAGTCAATCAGCTAACATGTGTTCATTGATTGAGTACCAGATATGTACTTAGTGTGATTCTGCAAGAGATGCAAAGGAGCCTTTGTTCTCACATGCCTTACAGTTAGGTGGGATACACTCAAGAGAGGGGTGTGTTTTGTGAAGTGTATGATTTAGAGGGCACAAGTTTCAGGAAGGAAGAAGTCATTGTAGCTTGGGGTTTTCAGAACTGATACCGTATAGTAGAGTGGGTTGACCTCAAACTAGTCAGAGTATTCACTCTGAAGGGTTGATACCATTGTTAGATAGAAGGAGCAAGGCATTTTGAGTGAGGGAGAGAGAAGACATGGAAAGCCATAGAACTAGGAGAGGCCATGTGGAGGTATGGGCTTGGAGAGGATGAGGCTGGCTAGGCAGGCGTTCATTGTGGAGGGAAGATGAGGCCGCCTTGAGTCAGGCCAGTGGCACACATTGGAAGGGGATGCATTGAGGAAATAATAGGGCAATTGTGTGTAGCATGGATTGAAAGAGTGAAGACCGGAAGACAAAGACCCACCAGGAAAGAGACTGCTGTTGGGACCCAGGGAGGGTGAGGACAGACCATTTTGGAAAAGTAGAATAAATGGTGATTCTCAGAGACATTTAGAAGGGAAGAATGGCACGTATTACTTTAGTGACCAGTTAGATTTAAACCCTGCAGTGGAATGTTCCAGTTTTCAGTATTTTGTTGTATCCTCCTTACAGGTTATTAAAATACCCTGGCCATGGCAGCATTTTGTTACCATCACTAAACTTTAGCACTGTGTCTTAACACATCAGAAGTTTTTCAGAAATTCTTGGTTTAGCTATATGTTCTGATTTTTGTTTCATAAAATACTATCTTTCTATAACAGAGATATAAAAAGGCAGAAACCAGCCCTTTCCAGGTACCCTGTAGTTTTAATGATTTTCAGAGTTCAATTCAGTAAAGATTTAAATACTGTTTCTAGAATGTATGACATGCTTGAACCTAAACTTGGCATAGTTTTTTTCCTGAAGTATTTCCCTTATGAGAGAACTGCTCTCCTGAATCTAGTTTCTTTTTTTGAGCTTCTCAGTTCCTCCATTCTCACAATAAGCTTCCTAGGGCTGGGACTATAACTTGGTGGCACAGTGCCTTGCTTGGAAAGCACAAGGTCCTGAGTTTGATTACTGGTACCAAAAAAAAAGTTTCCTGACTAATCATCAGGTCCTCAAAAAGAAGAAAATGTACCTTATGTTCAACATTGTTTATGTCCCTCAGGTGCTCTTAGCTTTAAAGGCTTCTAAAGCCTCGGTATATTTATTTTTAACACTTTCCTAGTACATAGTAAACATTGAATATTTTATTATTACATGGCTGTCCAGACAAGTTTCATATAGTCTTAATTTTGATGGGAGGATTTTTCTCGGTGCCTTGTGCATCTTTGAGCTGTCTGTGAACTTGTAACTCAAGGAACTACATGTTGGGAACAGAGTGTTAGATCATACAGGGAATCCCAAATATGGATCACATAGAAGTAAAATGGGGAAAGCGAAAGTATAAACATAGATGTCTAAGTAACAAGCCAATTAATTTTTAAAAATAAAGAATAACATTTAATTTTTTTCTAGTTAGAAAAGAATGTGCTTATTGCAGAAAACTTTAAAAATAACATTTATCAAGGAAGCTTCTATTTATAAAAGTGAACATTTGCTTATTGAAGAAAACTTGAAAAACAGTTGGCAGTTGCAAGAGGTGTGAAGGGTGCTATGAGACTTTGCATGGTTACAGTGAGGATCATGAGAACGTGATACTCAGGGAACACAGGGCATGGTGACCTCTGAGCTCTCTCTGCTCCACCCACCAAGTGTCTAGATCCTCTCCTGTGCCTCTGCAGATGAACAAGCTGACCAAAGACTGGACCCAGAAGTGGCATGACTGGCAGGCCCTCGTGGAACATTACCGTGTGGATATCAGCAGGAGGAGGGCTGGGGTGGTCATTGACTCCAGCCTGCCGCATCTGATGGCCTTGGAGGACGATGTGCTCAGTACGGGTGTTGCGTTGTATCACCTCAAGGTGAGGTGGAGGTGCTTCTCCTTCCTAAGCCACATTTGTATGACCTGAGACAGATCCATAGAGCTTCCTTGAGGTTCCCAGCTTGCCAACTGTGATCTCTTTTGATTTTGTATAAATGGAACAGAAGACTGGAAATCAGAACAATCATTTGTTTTTCAGCTACTGCTGTTGATTTTTACTACTTTTCTTCTGTTCTCTGTGCCATAATTTCCTCATTTTAAACTAAGAATAATCCTTTTTATATTTCTTTTCTGGCTACTGAAGCACAGAGGTACAGGCTTACCGAAATCCTAATGTCAAAAGTATTGTCAATATAAACCAGGTGCAATGACATGTGCCTATAGTGCCAGCTTAAATGGGAGGCAGAGACAGGAGTATCACTTGAACCTAGAAGTTCAAGGCCAGCCTGGATAACATATGTCCCTGTTGTAGGGGAAAAAAAAAACCAAAACTCTTTAAGTGTTCCTAAACCCTACAAATACAGGTTGTTCAAAGATGGGGCAATTCAGAAGACTTAAAAGTTTTCTTCAATCCCCAAATCAATAAAATATGCCTCTCCCAATTCTCCATCTGGAAAAGAAAAGGGGAGAGAGAATGTAGACAAACTTGAAGCTTGAGCTTAAAGCATGAGGGAGGGTCCAAAGAGCTGGGGCAGGGCTGGCAAGGACGGTGACATGCACCCTTCTAGAAGAAATGTCACGAGGTTAAGCCCCTCCAAACAAGACCAGCTCACTTGGCTTTTGTCACTTAGAGGCATTTTGTTGTTGTTGTTGTGGTTGCTTTATTTGTTTTGTTTTTGTTTGAGACAGGGTCTCACTATGTAGTTGAGGCTGGCCTTGAACTCACTGGAATGCCCAGTCTGGTCTCAAACTCACAGTGACCCTCCTGTTTCAGTTTTCCAAATGCTGGGATTACAGGTGTGTGCCACTGTACCCCACTTAGTTTGGTTTTTTGAAATGGGGTCTCACTATGTAGCCCAGGCTGGCCTCGAACTCAAAGCAGTTCTCTTACCTCAGCGTCCTGAATGCTGGGATTACAAGTGTATGTCACCACAGCTGGTTTTGGTCATCATTTCATAGATAAGTAGAGATAATGACCAAAGGTAGATAGTCTAATGTCCTGTTCTCTTCATGTATGTCCTGTGGGAAGATAGGATGTTAGAACTTACTTTAATGTCCCCAGATAATATTTAAAAAGACCAAAGAAAGTTGATGGCAGATATGTAAGGCTGCCATTATCCCTGGGGAAATTAGGCTTCTAGGGTGGTGCACGTGGAAGGGAGACTTTAGCAAAGCTCATCTGTGTCCTCAGGATGAACCCTTGGGAAGACTGTCAGAAGCTGAACATCTCGGTGAGGAACTTAAAGTAGCTTATTTTCTTGCACACTGGGCATAGATTGAGTGAAATGGCTGTCTACCTTCACAGCAAATCTAAACACTGAAGGCTATAATCCTTCCATTAGGCCCATAGGGACCATGGGGAGAGCTTGAGGATCAGGAGACCAGAGGGATTAAAATAGCCATTATCTGAGTAGAGCTGATATGACGTGTTGCTTGGATGTGGAGTAAGCAGAGGGAGTTGGATGTTAAGTAGGAAAGTATAGAAACTGGGCATGGTGGCACACGCCTGTAATCCCAGTACTCAGAAGTCTGAGGCTGGAGGACTGCTTTGACTTTGAGGCCAGCCTGGGCTACATAGTGAGACCCCATCTCAAAAAACCAAACTAAGCAGGGCATGGTGGCACACGCCTGTAATCCCAGCACTTGGGAAACTGAAACAGGAGGGTCACTATGAGTTTGACACCAGCCTGGGCTACAAAGTGAGCTCGAGGCCAGCCTGAACTGTGTAGCAAAACCCTGTCTCAAAAAGACAAAACAAAACAAAAAAAAAGAAATCATAGGGAGTGGCAGAGGGTTGAAGGCTGTGCCTTCTAGATTGAGCCTGAGCCCTGAAGAGGAGTGAGGGTGCCATCTGAATACACGGTTGCTTATTTTCACTTAGACAGAGGTTTAATCCCTTCCTGGTACATTTCCAGTGGACCTGTGTGAGGCAATTTTAGTCTGGTTTTAATTCTGGCACATCTATTTTGTATGTACCCGTATTTTTTCTTTCTTGTTTAAATCTTCTGGTGTCTGTAATTGTGTAACAGCAATGGTCCAAGATTCTCTGTGTTTTTGTTTACTTTTCTCTGTTGGTCACTGGCCTAGAACTGGTCCCTTTAGATACTCTAGAAACAGTTTTCCCTCAGGTCACCTTGGGACGCTCAAGGGGCAGAAGGAACAATGGGCAGAACACCTGGTGCTGCTATCCTTGTAACCGCCTTTGTGCTGCTGACTCCCTGCATGAAAAAGGCAGGAGGAGCAGTAATCACAGATGCCAACTCCATCTTGGTTATCTGCAATGTTAGCACCTTTTTGGGTAATTTCTGCCCTGTACATCTAGACATTGTGATGTGCTGTGGCCTTTATCCTTTCAGGAAGGGTGTGTTCCATCATCAGGGCTGCCCCTGAACCCACATGAAGGGTTTCACCCTCTTTGCCTTGAACTGGCCCTTGCTGGCATCCATTGATCCTTTCCAGGCCAGGCTAGAAAGATGGACTAAGTGTACATAGGGAGGAAAAGCAGAGGGGCACAGAAGGGTCAGGGCTTCATTCATTGCTTCAGGGTTCTTCTGTGTCACAGTCTAGTTTAGGGATAGCTGCAGGGACCTCTCTGCTGCTGACAGGGAAGCCTAATAGAGAGCTCTGGTTACTTTGAAAACAAGATGCAGGGCAGGAGAGTAGAGTAAAGCTGAAAAGTCCTGGGCTTAGGCTCCAAAGGGACCTAAAGTCTAGTCACAGCACTCCTACTTAGCATGTGGGTTTCTTGGACAGTTTACTCCCTAGAAGCTTCAGATTCATTGTCTATAAGGAGAGAATAACATGTACATTTTAGAGCTGGGCGTGGTGGCACATGCCTGTAATCCCAACACGTGAGAGACTGAGGCAGGGGGCTTGCCATGAGTTCAAAGCCAGCCTGGGGTACATGGTGAGTTCAAGGGCAGCCTGAAGTACGTAATGAGACCCTGTCTCAAAAAACAAAAACGTCCATACATTTTAAGTTATTAAAGAAAAGATGATGTTTAGAAAGCACTCAGCTTAGTACTGCCTGGGACATATTGAATGTTACTCAGCAGGTGATAAAGATATATCTGAAATTTGGCATTTCTGTTGCTCTGTCACTACCTTCCCCCAAAGAGCCATGTGGTCTTCAGATTTGCTATAAACCAAGGCCAAAAGGCTTTGTCTACTACTAACTCAGTGATTCATTTGTAGTATTAACTCTAGTTTCCCCTGCTCTCTTATTCTCTCTTCTACTTCTTTTTGATTCTAGAAGTGCTTTTGTGCTATTTGTGCCTTATCCTTCTTAGAATCTGGTGTCTGTTAAACTTTATTCACTGATGAAGAAGGTAAGAATGCTGTGTTTCCGTAAATCTTCATAAAAAGCCCATGTGCTTGAGACTTGCTGGGTCAAACCTTAACCCCTTTGTGGGAAAGTAAGCCTGTGCCCACTTCCTTGGTGACTGATGACTGCGGCTATTCATAGCTTAACTTCAGGCTGTAGGAGAGAAAGGAGTTGGCCAGCACTGATCAGGCTTTCCATATAGCTGGTGTTAGGTTGTCTTGTTCACCTCAGTTTTCTCAGAGGCTTCCTGGGGTACAGAGGGAGTAGGCAGAGGGTCAAAATAGCTTGGACCAAGGTTGAGGAGTGGTACAGAAAAAGGCCGGGTAGGGACTGGGGAGACAGGAATAACACTTGAGGGCAGGGCAGTGTGCCTTTGTATTCTTACTAAAATAGCTTTCTTTCCCCCTGTAGGAGGGGACAACAAAAATAGGACGGATTGACTCAGACCAGGAACAGGACATTGGTAAGTGACAGTGACTGTGGGTCTGACAGTTATTTGTACCTAAAAGGTTTCTTCAGAGGACTCTGATGATGCTCTGAGAGGAGAAGATTCTTCGACGTATCAAGGGTCTGGTTTTCTTTCTCTTGCAACGCTTTTGGTTGGACAGAAGTGACCAGCACTGTGGGTAGATTTCTGTTCTGGGTGGTCTCAGGCGGTGGCTCTTCCTTTCTTGTTATGATGGGAGAGATCTTCCAGGTGTTGGATTCTTTTTAATTTGGTTGGTTTTGGTTTTTGGAGATGCTAAGCAGTACATGCTGGCCTTGAACTATGTAGCTAGGCTGGCTTTGAACTCAGTGATGTTCTCCAGCTGCTGGGATTACAGATGAATGGAGGAGGTGTCCCCTGAATTGTCCCCCACCTAAGTGACCACCACCTCTACTCTAGTCCTTCAGGGCCAGTGGATTGAGAGAGACCACTGCACAATCACCAGTGCCTGTGGGGTAGTCATTCTCCGGCCTGCGCAGGGGGCACGCTGCACAGTCAATGGCCGCGAGGTCACTGCCTCTTGCCGTCTGACCCAAGGTAGGACTCTCTGCAGCCCTGTTTATGAGCAGGATGAAGGATGGACCAGCTCCAGTCTCATGGGCCCAGAGAGCTCAGAGAAGCAGTCTTTAAAGATGGATTGCCCAGCCAGAGACCTGAAGATTTCCTAATGTAATCCTCTTCAATCCAGGACCAGAGAGAGGAGAAAACCCTCTGAAACTTGTTCTGTGTGTGTTACTTTTGTTTTTAGGAAAGTCTCTGAGCCTCACTTTCCTCATCTGTAAAATGGAGATTTGAGAGGATTGCAGGAATCCTATCCTTGTAAGATTCTTAGCATCACTTGGCACATAGTAAATACCCATCATTATTATCGCAGCTACTGTTAGTAGTCTACTCAAATTCTGTCTGCCCTTTGAAACTGAGCTTAGACTCCCCTTCTTCTGTGAAGCTGTCTCTAACTATGCCCAGGCGCTAGATTTCTCTTAGAGTACAATAGCTCCTGATTTGGAATTAATAGGTGTCTTAGGGGCTGGGGATTTAGCTCAGCGGCACAGTGCCTGTCTGGCAAGTGCAAGGTCATGAATTCGATTCCCAGTACCGGAAAAACAACAACAACAACAAAAAAAGGTGTCTTATGAACTCAGCCAAAGTATATCAACCAGATGAGGGCATGAGTTTTGTCCACAGAACAGTACCCTGCAAAAAGTGTGTATTCAAAGCATGATGTGCTGGCCGAAGTCTCATCTGTCTCTGTGGTGCAGGAGCTGTCATAACTCTGGGGAAAGCTCAGAAGTTTCGATTCAGCCACCCAGCAGAGGCTGCTGTCCTGCGGCGGCGAAGGCAGGTTTGTGTGGTTGTGGGCTCTAGGGTACTGCTGGCCATGCTGTTTCTTTTTCTTTTTTTCCCTTCTCTTCTTCCTCCTCTCCTTCTCCTCTTCCTCCTTTCCATCCTCCTCCTTCTCTTACTCTCTCACTCCTGTTTTTGTTTTTTTGTTTTTTTTAGACAGGGTCTTGTTATGTAGTCTGGGCTGTCCTTGAACTCACACTCTTCCCGCCTCAGCCCTGTGAGTGCTGGGATTACAGGCATGTGCTACTGTGCCTGGCTGCTACTTTTTCTTTGTAGGAGAGGAGCTTAAACTTTGCCTATTGTGTTGGCCCAGGGGTCATGTGGGCAGCTTCACTGTGCCTTCTTTGTTTCAGGTTGGAGAGGCCATTGGCAGCAGTGGCTCTTTGGAATGGTTGGACTTGGACGCAGATGTCACTGCCTCCCGCTTGGGTCTCTGCCCTTTCCTTTGGAAGGAAAGGTGAGAAACAACTGCTCACACCAATGTGGAGCCTCCTGGATCTGTTACAACATGGAGCAGAGAGATGCCTGGTGTAGCGGGCAGGCCCTGAGTGAGGTTGGCTGTGAGTCAGCCTGGGCAGGTGATCTGAAGATTCTGGGCTGGCCGCTGAGTCTGAGTTGGCCCTTACTGGGTTCCTGCTTGGCATTTCAGCTCTCTTCATCCCTGAAAGAAGCCTGTCATTTGACATTCCTGTGGCTACTTTTCTCTGTCAGCAGAGTTAACTGAGCGGTACTGTCAGATACCTTTGATGCCGCATCTGAACTTACCTTTTGCAGTCCCCTTTAAATTCTGTCCTGCCCATGTGTAAGTTCATAGCATCTCAGTTAACCTCCAGGATTTATGGCAACCTCTGAGGTACTAGAGATAGAACACAGGAATATTATATCCCTGATCTGTATCTCCAGTCCTTTTTATATTTCATTTTTTAGACAGAGTTGCACTAAATTGCCTAGGCAGTCCTGCAGCTTGTGATCCTCCTGAACCTATTCTCCCACAAAGCTGTGACTATAGGCCTTTGACACCACATCCTTCTGGGTATTTAAAGATAGTGTATGACTGAGAGCCCTTTATTTTTTCTTCTTACCACCAGAAATCCGGAAGTAGGCATAAAAGAAGCAGGGAATAATACAAAAATACCTTCTGTCCTTGTACACCCACTTTACCCACATTGTGACTTCAAGAGCTTGAGTCAGAGTTTTCTATTAATTGATGGTTACTGCTTTTCTATTTGATGGTCATACTTCATCCATTTCTACATAGAGTCCTTTCTGCAAGTGTAGATGCTTGGTGGTTTGGTTTTGATGCTAGCATTTCCTCTATAGTCGTAGAGCAGAGTGACCTCTGGTGGGATTTCCTGTAGAAAATTTGAGCAGGGACCACAGTGTCTGTGAGATCACTGGTGTTGGGAGAGGGCCACATACCTGTGCTTAGGGTTCTTGGTGGGTTCTAATGGCCCTTGATCCATTCAGAGGATGCCAGATGAAGACAGTTTGGGTCTGACATCAGTGGGAAGGGGGTTGGATTGAGGAGAGGGAAGCATGAACATTAGCATGTCCTTACAGGAGGGATGCTTGGGTTTGAAGGGTGCTGCAACAGGAGGATGATCCTAGGGTCAAGTGTCTGAGGGCCTTGGGTAAAGGGTAAGGTGGAAGGGGTGACATAGGACGGAGAGATCAAGGCCAAAATAGACTCAGGACTGGGGCCAGACCTGTTGTTTTATCATAGGTTCCTCCCCCGCCTGTGTAGAGTGAAAGAAGATCTTGTTTTAGATAAGGTTTCTGTTGGGAAGATACATTCAAGGTGGGTTTTCCCAGAGTTAGAGTTTGGCAGAAAACAGCTCTGTGGCTGAAAGAGCTGGGAACGTGGAGGAGATCCACTGGAGATGCACAGAAGTGTTGCAGGCTAAGCCAGAAGCTTATACAAGGGAGGAAATTATAAAGGTCAGAGCAGAAACTAATGCATTGGAGACTAAGAAAGCAATAAAAAGAATCAATGAATTGAAGAGTTGGTTCTTTGAAAGATTAAATAAAATCGACAAACCCTTAGCTAACCTTATCAAAAAAAGGAAAGACTCAAACCCACACACTTAGGAATGAAAAGGTTGAAATCACAACAGAAATTCAGAAGATCATCTATACTTGCTTCAGAAACTTATATTCTAAAAGATGGAAAATGCAGAAGAAATAGACAGATTCCTTAGATACATATGAATTACCAAAGCTGAATCAAAAAGATATAAAAATCCTAAATAAATATCAATCAATGAAATCAAAGATGTAATTAACCATCCAAGAAAGAAAAGCTCAGGCCCTGATGGGTTTACTACTGAATTCTATAAGCAGTTTAGAGAAGACTGAACACTAATACTTCTCAAAGTCTGTAATGAAATTGAAAGGGAAGCAGTACTCCCAAACTCATTCCTGGAAGCAAGCATTACCCTGATACCAAAACCAGAGAAGGACCCAACTAAGAAAGAGAATTACAGGCCAATCTCCCTAATGAACATAGATACAGTAATGCTCAGTAAGATACTGGCAAACATAATGCAGCAAATTGTCAAGAAGATTATATACCATGACTAAGTGCAATGCAGGAATGGTTTAACACAGGTAAAGCAATAAATGTAATACACCATATTAACAGAGCCAAGGACAAAAATCATATGTCCTTGGCTCAATAGATGCAGAAAAAGTTTTTGACAAAGTCCAACACCAATTCATGATAAAAACCCTACAGAAAATTGGAATAGATGGTCTTTATTGCAATCTGATAAAAGCCATCTATGACAAACTAACAGCCAACACCATACTAAATGGACAGAACTTGAAAGGTTTTACTCTAAAATCAGAAACAAGACAAAGATGTCTGCTGTCTCCACTCTTATTCAACATAGTTCTGAAAACTTTAGCCAGAGCAATTAGACAAGAGAAAGAAAGAAAGGAATAACGGGAAAGGAAGGAGTTAAATTATCATTATTTGCAGATGACATGATACTCTATGTAGAATACCCCAAAACACCACTAAAAAAAACTGCTAGATTTAATAAACAAGTTCAGTAGCATAGCTGGATACAAAGTCAGCCTTCAAAAATGAATAGCCTTCCTGTACACAAATAAAGTCACTGAGGGCGAAATTAGGGAAACAACACCTTTCACAGTAGCATCCGAAAAAATAAATACCTGGGAGTTGATCTCACGAAGGATGTATAAGACCTCTACATTGAAAACTACACTACTCTGAAAAAGGAGATTAAAGAAGATATGAGAAAATGGAAAGATATCTCTTGATATCTTGGGTAGGAAGAACCAGTATAGTGAAAAATATACTTACAGAATATAGATTGAATGCAATTCCAATCAAAATTCTAATAGCATATCTCACAGAAGTAGAGAAAACAATCCTAAAATTCATTTGGAACCAGAATAGATCTAGAAGAGCAAAGGCAGTTCTGGGTAACAAAGGCAAGGCAGGGGGAGCATCACAATCCCTGATTTGAAATTATACTATAAAGCTACCGTGATAAAAACAGCGTGGCGGCTGGGGTTATAGCTCAGTGGCATCGTGCCTGCCTGGCAGGCATGAGCTCCTGAGTTTGATTCCCGGTTCCAAAAACACACAAAAAAATGTGATACTGGCAAAGAAACAGACCCGAAGATGAGTAGAACAGACTAGAAGATGCAGAAACAATTCCAGACATACTCAGCCACCTTATCTTTGACAAAGGTGCCAAACACATTCATTGCAAGAAAGATAGCCTCTTTAATAAATGGTGCTAGAAAAACTGGCTCTGCACATGCTGAAGGTTAAAATTGGACCCATATCTTTCACCATGCATTAAACTAAATTTGAAATTGATCAAAGACCTAAATATTAAGACAGAAACATTAAATCTGCTAGTAAATAGAGCAGGTAAAATTCTTGAAGACATTGGTGTAGGCAAAGACTTCATGAGTAAAATCCCTATCGCACAGGAACTATCACAAAGAATCAATCAACTGGGATCCCTCTTATTAAAAAGCTTTTGCACAGCAAGAGAAACCACCAACAGAGTGAAGAGACAACCACAATGCGGGAAAAAATGTTTGCCAGCTCTTCTTCAGACAGAGGATTACTATCCAGAACGTACAAAGCACTCAAAAAAATCAGACCTCCCAAATTTAAAGAACCAGTCCAAAAGTGGGCACCTGAGATGAATATACACTTCTCAGATGAAGAAATACAGCAAAGAAATATACGAACAAAATGATCAACATCACTGGTCATTGGAGAGATGCAAATTCAGACAACCCTGAGGTTCCGTCTTACCCCAGAAAGGATGACTATTATCAAGAAATCAACCAATGACAAAAGTTGAAGAGGCTGTGGGGAAAAAGGAACCATTCTCCACTGTTGATGGAAGTGTAGACAGATGTCATCACTGTGGAAATTAGTATGGAAATTCCTCAAAAAACTAGGATTGGAGGTCCTATTTAATCCAGCTATTCCCCTTCTGAGTATCTTCCCTGAAGAATTAAAAACGTCATACTATGGTGATATATGTGCACCCATGTTGATAGCAGCATGGTTGGTAATAGCTAGATCTTGGAAGCAACCCAAATGCTCATCAAGTGAGGAATGGATAAAAAAGATGTGGTTTTTTTTTTTGTATAATGGAGTATTACTCAGCCATAAAGAAGGATGAACTGGAGACTTTTATAGGTAAATGGATGCAACTTGAGACCACACTCATAAGTGAAATAAATCAGATGCAAATATGTAAACATTGTATTGTCTTCCTAGTGTGAGAAGCTGAAAGAGTAAATAAGATCCAGTAGATATTGTAAAATGGGAAGAAACTTCAAAAGGAAAGAGAAACTG